CTCTCCATCACCCCAGAACTAAAACAATTTCCGAGGCCATCTCTTCAGACAGGGATTGGACTGGACTGTGGGACAAAAAGTGATACTCGTGAAGAATGTGCTTCTTAGACAAGTAGATATAAGAGACCAAAGGGGTGGCTTCTGTCCAGAGGTGAGAGGGGAAGGCAGAGAAAGTTAGGAGCTGGTTGAATGTTCATGGGGAGCCAGGGGCAGAGGGGAGGAGTGTGCGGTCACAGCATGGGGTGAGCGGTTGGGGTCTCATAACAATATCTGTTAAAAAAAAAAAAAGAAAATTCTGTATGGGAGACTAACTTGAAATGTAAACTTCATTTAATTACATCAATAAAAAAAAAGAGACTAATAGAGTTATCAGATAGGGCTTCATATTAGAGAAGGATCTTCAACTGAGCTGAAGGAAGGACATGAGTGGGGGGAATGGAGATATGAGAAAGTTTTGGGAGAGGAGAATCAACATAAAAAATACAGAATAAATACATTAAGTAATATTTGTCTTAAAGTCAGTTAATTGTTTATCTGCCTAAGTGGAATGAAAGTTTTAAGTTCAGAAATAGCAGAAATAAATAAATAGGGATTTAATGGGGCCAAAATGTATAGATGCCTTGAATTCCTCCTTGATATTCCCTACAACAAATACTACTTCCTCTTTTCTTTTTCTTTGTTTCTTCTCTCTGTCTAGTAGCTATGGTATCTCTGTTAAGTTATTCTAGATGACCTTCATTATATTTCATGAAACCACCGAGAGATTGAGGACAAAACTTCTGTACTTCAGACCACCAGTTCCCAAAATGCAGCACCCAGTCCACTAGGATTCCACAAGAGTGGCTGATGAAAACTCATGTACTATTATCAATATTTCAACAAGTCGAACATATCCAAATAGCTACCCATGATAAAGCTATTCAGGCTAAGTAAAATGTCAAGCTTCTTTGTTTGGGGCTGGATGATACTAATTAGAGTGGTTATCTCAGGTTGATAAGATACTCTCATTGAAAATAGCCCTGATGGCACTGTGGTTAAGTGTCCGGCTGCTAATCAAAAGTTTGGCAGTTCAAATCCACCAGCTGCTCCTTGGAAACTGTGGGGCAATTCAACTCTGTCCTATGGGGTCACTATGAGTCGGAATCGACTCGACAGCAACGAGTTTGGTTTTTCAGTTTCAGGTTAATAAATATTAATGCTCTAATATTTTATTATTTAACATACACCACTTATATGGAGCATAATGTCCATAGATGAAAAATAAAAAGGATCACTAGTGGTAAAGAAAGTTAAAGAATCACTGTCCTTGATCCTAAAGGTATCTACACGTCTCTCTTGTGCCCGTAACTCCAAAAGAGCCATTTGTGAACTTTTTTTTCACAATAACAATTAGCCCACACTACTAATTAATTCGTTCTTCCAAAGACATTATCTTTAAAGTATTTTTAATGTCATAAAAGGACAGTTAACTTTATAAAGAGAAACAAGCAATATTTTAATATACTTGAAGATTAACTTTTTATAGAAGCTTTTCTGAAATAACAGTTATGAAACTATTTCAAACACAGACTAAAGCAAGTAGATAAACCAATGATGAATATTCAGCTTCTTAAGAGTGGGAGAAATGAAACTTATACTACAAATAAAATACGAACAAAAATACACATTTATTTGATTACATAAATATATGTTTTAAATATATTGTCAAATACTATCAAAGTTAATAGCTGGGTAATTTGACTATATTTTTGATCTATTAATTAAATATACACAATAGGTTAATATCTAATTCATCACCTTCTAGATTCATTATTTGTTTAAAAATGACTCCTTTTCTACAAAGTTGTCCAGAAGTCACAAAAATGTGGTGATTTACAGCCATGCTGAACATTCAAACATTCAAACATATGCCCAGCCTGATAATCATAATTCTTTCAATAAGCAGCGGCAGAACCAATCTGCCTATGTAACCTTAAAAAACAACTTTCATTTTAAACAAAAGCTGACCACCTACCTGCAAACACAGGAAAGTCTCCCCCCTTCAGCCTACAGAGGAGTTTAACAAATAAAGATGAACCAAGCAGTAATCAGATAAGGCTCCAAAGTCGGCAGATCAATTTCTGGCCCAGAAAGCTTGCATTCTAAGTATGCTGCAAAGTCTTGAACTATCAGCAGCAGCGTTCCAAATATTTCATGACAGCTATGTAAAATCACCGCTTCGATTCCCTAGTTTGCTATGAGAAGCTTTTCCTTCTGAAACACAAGCTCCAGTGTAGCTTAAAAGGCGGTTTGTCACTTCCTGGTTCCTAGTGTTACACTTTCCAAGGCTGCCAGGTCAGAATACAGAATTGGAAGTTACACCTCACTCCACAGGTTCCTAAGCCACTCCTACTAGAAGAGGACAGGTAAACAGGATTTTATTAAAGGGACAGGTCCCAGTTTCTTCTGTTCTACACACAGATGGGAAACAAGATGCAAATGAAAATATCTTGCTTATGCTCAATTATATAAAATACCTATTAAAATATTATTTAACTTCAGTTTAAAAACTAAATGTGCTAAAGGTTAAATTTTCTTCTCCATACTAAAAATTTCTATTCAATTCTGGCAATGTCATTATTGCTTTTGCACATACCATTTCTTCAGCATTGATGTAACATCTCCATCAGCCTCCTCCAGTAACCCTTTGTGACTGTGAAAGACTAGATCACTTGAGTTGTAAATAGAATGTCAGGAAACAGCAAGAAATAGCAAGAAGCCAGCTATTCAAGTGGTGCTATTCCAACACTTGGCACATCTTTCATTACTGGGAAATTTAAGGTAACATCTTGATTACTCAGTAATTTTTCCCTTTAAAAACAATTTTGACTTTAGTTTATTCAAAACATTTTTTTCTAGTAGGGACCTGGACTTCAGTAAACACTACAGAGAGTCTCATCTACCAATTCCAATTTCTTTCCTCAAATGAAATTTTTATTCTAAAAAAAAAATCAAAATGTGCCCTAACTTCTATCTAGTCATTCTGTTTAATTTAGCAAGCTGTGTAGACAATTCAAATGCTACTTGATGAACTTGCAAGAATCACCATTTTGGGGGTTGCTAAAATCTAATCATTTTTTACAATGGCAAAATGAGTACTCTCCATGTCACTCTTGTCTCTCACCAAAGGGCGAGTTGAGGAGAAGTGGCCAGCAAAAGATATTGGAGGAAATACCAGAAAGATAAGAGGAAAGTTTAGAAAGAATGATATTATGGAAATCAAAGGAGGAAGGAGTGGGGGAAGGAGGAAGTGGACAGAGCGCCTAATGGAGACAAATGCTGCTGAAAGGTCAAGGAAGATGAGGATGTGATGAGCACATAGGATGACAAATGCAAGCATCCAGAGCAGTGAATCAGCTTGGCAAGCTATTTCACCATGACTAATGTATATGACATGGGGAAGGAGGAAGAAGCCAGATCATGAGGAGTCTTACATGCCATCCTCAGGAGTATGGACTTTACATTGTCAAAATGTAAAAAGCCACCGGATGGTTTCACACAGAACAGTAACAAGTTCAGAATTGTGTTTTTATATAAAAGACAACATCCTTTGATGGTTACGAGGGTGGGGAAGGAAGGAGAGGGGTATTCACTAACTAGAAAGTAGACAAGGATTATCTTAGGTGAAGAGAAGGACAGCACACACTACAGGGGAAGTCATCACAACGGGACTAAACCAAAGCTAGGAAATTTCCTAAATACAACCAAACACATCAAGGGACAGAGTAGCAGGGGAAGGGGTCTCGGGACCATGCTTTCAGGGGACATCTAGGTCAACTGGCATAAAAAAGTTATTTAAGAAAATGTTCTGCATCCGACTTGGGTGAGTGGCGTCTGGGGTCTTAAAAGCTAGTAAGCGGCCATCTAAAGATGCATCAATTGGTCCCAACCACCTGGAGTAAAGGAGAATGAAGAACACCAAAGACACAAAGAAAGGATTAGCCCAAGAGACAAACAGCCACATAAACCAGAGACTTCATGAGCCTGAGATAAGAACTAGATGTTGCCCAGCTACCACAATGACACAGCAGAGTCCCTGATGGAGCAGGAGAAAAGTGGGGTGCAGAACTCAAATTCTAGTAAAAAGACCAGACTTAATGGTTTAATTGAGACTGGAGGGACCCTGGAAGATGTGGCCCCTGGACTCTCTGTTAGCCCAAAACTAAAACCATTCCCGAGGCCAATTCTTCAGTCAAAGATTAGACTGGCCTATGGGACATAAAATGATACTCATGAAGAGGGTGCTTCTTAGCTCAAGTAGATACATGAGATTAAATGAGCAGCTCTTGTCCGGAGGCGAGATGAGAAGGCAGAGAGGGTCAGAAGCTGGTTGAATGGACGTGGGAAATCAGGGGTGGAAAGGAAGAGTGTGCTGTCACAGTATAGGGAGAACAAGTAGGGTCACAAACAATGTATGTACAAATTTTTGTATGAGACACTAACTTGAATTGCAAACTTTCACTTAAAGCACAACAATAAAAAACTAAAGGAAAGCTAAGAGTTGTCAGATGACAGTTAAAATATATCTTTTGTTTATGATTGATCATCTTATGGGGTTTTTTCCAAATAACTGGGAAAAGCTTAAAAGAATTGAGTGTCAATGCTATAACCAAATTTCATCTATTCCTTTCTACTTTTATAAGATTTCTCAAAACTTGTATCTACTAAAGATAAAAAATATGGTTAAGCAAAAAAGAATTGTGTTTTTAAAAGAATGGCTTTGGAGGCAGAACAGAAGCTTTAAATACAACTTTAGGCCAATTAACTGAGATGTCCCATGAAACCATGACTCTAAACCTCCAAACCAAGAAACCAAATCTCATGAAGTGTTTGATTGTACATAAGCAGTCTCAGCAGCTGCTCTTTTTTTTTTTTTAATATCAAAGTTGTAAATGTATCTGTTATGGATTGAATTGTGTCCCCCAAAAATGTGTATCAACTTGGATAGGCCATGATTCCCAGTATTGTGTGCTTGTCCACCATTTTGTCATCTGATGTGATCTTCTACATGTTGTAAATCCTACCTCTATGATATTAATGAGGCAGAATTAGAGGCAGTTATGTTAATGAGGCAGGATTCAATCTATAGGATTAGGTTGCATATTCAGTCAGTCTCTTTTGAGGTACAAAAGAGAGATGTGAGTAGAGAGACATGGGGATCTCATACTACCCAAGAAAGTATTTCCAGGAGCAGAGCATGTCCTTTGGACCCAGGGTACCTGTGCTGAGAAGCTCCTCAACCAGGGGAAGATTGATGACAAGGACCTTCCTCCAGAGTTGACAGAGAGAGAAAGCCTTCCCCTGGAGCTGGCACCCTGAATTTGGACTTTTAGCCTACTAGACTGTGAGAGAATAGACTTTTGTTTGTTGAAGCCATCCACTTGTGATATTTCTGTTATAGCGGCACTAAATAACTACAGCAGAATCTATCACACAACTTTTGCCAATTCAACTTTTTACAGGTGTACAACCTGACAGCAATTACATTAATATGCTATACAATCCTACCCTTAATCTGTTCTACTTTCTAGTTCATTGCCCAGTACCTGGAGTCTCAAAAGCTTACAAGCAACCATCCAAGGTGCAACAATTGGTCTCTATACACCTGGAGTAACAGAGGAAAAAGAAGAGTCAGGATAGAAGAAGAAAACAGAATGCATGGCTAACTGCCTCCACTTGCCATGAGACGAGAGAACTAGATGGTGTTCAGCAATCATTACTGAACGTTTTGATCGAAGACTCTATAGAAGAATTCTGATCAAAAGGTGGAAAACGCAGAACGGAATTTCAATTTCTCATAGAATCCAGATATTCTAGAGGCATGGAGGCTGGATGAACCCCCAAGACTACTGCCTTGAGATAATCTTTAAACCTTAAACGTTAAGCCAAAAATATCCCCTGAGGTCCATAGGACTAATGGAACACAACTACCACAGCCTCCACCAGACTGAGTCCAGTACAACTAGATGGTGTCCGGCTACCACCACTGACTGCTCTGACCGGGATCACAACAGAGGATCCTGGACAGAGCTGGAGAAAAATGTAGAACAAAATTCTAACTCACGAAAAAAGACCAGACTTACTGGCTTGGTCAAGACTGGAGAAACCCTGAGAGTATGGCCCCTGGACATCCTTTTAGCTCAGAATGAAGTCATTCCCAAGGTTCACCATCAGCCAAAGATTAGACAGTTCCAGAAAACAAAACGAGACTAATGGGGCACAACAGTCTAGGGACAAGGACTAGAAGGCAGGAGAGGACAGGAAAGCTGGTGATACAGAACCCAAGGTTGAAAAGGGACAGTGTTGACATGTCGTGGGGTTGTTAACCACTGTCATAAAACAATATGTGTACTGTTTAAAGAGAAACTATTGGTTCTGTACACCTCCATCTAAAGTACAATTTTAAAAAATGAAAAGAAAAAAATATACATCCCCTGAAGTCTTCTTAAGAGCAAACAATAATTTAGCTTACCTGGTAAATAACGTCTGCCTTGAGCATTGTGCTCTTTTAAGAACTACCTACGTTGCTCAGCTACCACCACTGACTACTCTGATAGGGATCACAATAGAGGGTCCTGGACAGAGTTGGAGAAAAATGTAGAACAAAATGCAAACTCACAAAAAAAGACTAGACTTACTGGTCTGACAGAGACTGAAGAAACCCTGAGAGTATGGCCCCCGGACACCCTTCTAACTCAGTATTGAAGTCACTTCTGAGGTTCACCCTTAGCCAAAGATTAAACAGGCCTATAAACAATAGGAGGCGGGGCCAAGATGGCGGAGTAGTCAGATGCTTCCAGTCGACCCTCTTACAACAAAGTCCCGAGAAAACAAGGGATTCAATTATATATGGCAATCTGGGAGCCCTGAACATCAAAGGCAGAGTTGAGGAAACAGACTGAGTGACAGAGGGAGGGAGAGACAGTTCGGAATCAGTGAGGAGTTGCCAGACCTGACCCGGCGAGAGCCTGAGCCCTTCAGGCCTGAGCAGTTCATGGGTGAGCGGTGAGACAGGCAAGCAGTGGTGCTTGGGAGGCATGTTTTCCACACTGGGAAAGACTCAGTGCCAGAGAGTCTATGTGGTCACCCAGAACCACTGAGAAGCAGCCCTCATCAGCGAAAGATAAGTACGTGTGTACGGCTTACCACACAGATCAAAAACACCCCACTTAGGGAAAAACCTCTCTCCCATTTATCTCCCCGCTCCCTGC